ACAAAGGAATCGTCTTCTGAATTTTCTGATATTATCCTTGTAGACATCGATGACAATAACACAGCAAAAATAATTTCAGGAAGTCATCGGGTAAAAGAAAAAAACAAAACAAAACCAAAAAAAAAAACCACCCTGCAATTCAGCTGAGAGAGAGAGAGAGATCTCCATTATAATCCAAAGCCATGATTCTATTTGATGTTAAAATTGGTTTGGAAGTTTCTTAACAGAAAATTTCACTGAGGATTAATTTCCGTTTTCTTTTCTCCTTATTGCTTGGCAGTCAAGGTTGCAGCTAAAGCCCGCTATCACAAAGGCCCATTTGAGTTCAAGAACACAGCTTCCAATTCTCGGCTCGCGGCCGAGCCAGGTGAAGGAGAACCGGGACGTGACCCCACTTGTAACATTTGCCCTGCATCCTTCCGTGTTCCCCTTTAACATGCTGAGCCGAGCTTAGGTGAAGAAGGGAGAAACACTGCACAGCCCTGTGCATTTCAGCATGTGTGTAGCTTGCTGGGCCGCGAAATACTGAGCAGCAAAGCCGTAAAGAACAATAATCATTAAAACGACTCCACCCTCAGCTAGCAGCTCGCCTCAGACTTCAGTCGGAAGCCCTGTTAGCTAGATGCCTTTGTGTTCAAACCACTTTGCATGAGCCTTCCTCTGAGTGATTCCAGTGTGAATATGACATTACTAATGACCTGCTAAGTGGGTACAGATGTGGGTTTCTCCAGATGTGGTGATTAATAACGTAATGGAGATAGCTGGTTGACTCATGTTTATAGGTTGTTTGCCTTTTATGACTTTTTTTGAGTTTATTTGCTTTGAACTATTTCCTAACTCCAGCCAACAAACCCACCTTTAAGTCTCAAAGGGCTTCATGCCGCTTCATCTCCCGGGGGACATAGGGCAGAGGAAATGTGCCTCAGGCAGGAGCTGATGGAGGGTCCGTCGCATACAGAGGTTGGATTGCTGGGCAGCTGAAGGTTGCTATCTTTGTCCCATTTCACTTCAAGAACCCAGAGAGGCGTTGGTGACCCATGACACAATGTTTGCAACCTGGCAAGGCAGCTAAGAGAAGGATATTTCTTTTTTAAAGCCAAAAATCTGGTCTAATATATGATCCTTTCTAAGTTACCCAGAATTCTGGCCAGTGCTTCTGGAAGACGTTGCTTTGCTCTTGCTTGAAAACAGAATGCTGATGAAAAGTCAACTGAAGTGTTGTCACAGATGTTCAGCCCTGCATTCAGGCTGTTGGAATTACACCACATCTTAAATCAATTCCTGGAACATTGTCTGGAGGTTATGTCATTCAAATAATGAATCCTCTTTAGTCAAGTATAAGCAAACATGTTAAAACATCATTGTAACTTTAAATTAAACTCCAGCGCAAACCAGGGGATCTGAAGCCTCATTAGACTTGCCTGACATTTTTCTAGCACGAGTCTTCCCAAACTGTAAAACTGTTAGATTCAGTGCCTATTAGACAAGGGAGCCCTGGGAAGTTACAACAGAACATTAAGTGTCATACTTAGGGATGTGCAAAAACAAGCCCTTGAATTTTATGAGTACTTGGAGACTGGATGGAGTTCAGCGCCTATAAAAATTCCACATTAGATTCCTGAACTTGTTTGTGTTTTAAGGAAGCTGGTAAGTCAGGGTTCTTTAAAGAATCATGTCTTCATGCAGCTCCCTCTGCACAAATGCAAGGCAGTGAAAACACTGGAGATAGAGTTGTGTTGTAATTAGCCCCAAAGTAGGTTAAATATGAGCCCGTCAGTGTGTGTTGCCCTTAGGTAGTGGCCCATTACTTCAAAGCATTTGTCTTTCGTGAAAGTAAGTAAATTTAAGTCTCCCTTTTAATTCCATTTTTATTCCTCACTTGTAGTCACAGAAGCCATGCAATGAAAATTATATTTTATAGCTTAACTAGGAGTTATCCTAGATCTGCGTTCTTTAAATGCGCAGAAATTGATAGAACCCATAGAAGAGATCATAATTAAATATAGTTTATGCCCTGCTTATGAAAGAGAAGTTATCCTTGCTTTCTTGTGAGACCTAAGCCATATGTAATGGGCTCCATTACACAACATTCGTATATTTAAGCTGAAGACATTTGCTTCCAGCTCTTCAGGGAACAGATTTCTGGGGCGCCAGCGCAGGAGGGAAGCTTTGAGCACAGTTGCATTTGAGAGAACAAATCTCGTTTAAATGCAGTATGATTATGATGGATGGCCTCTCTGAATTGCAATGGAAATAAGTAGTTTCCTCGGACAGAAGACACGACTTTACTACATAATCGAGGTGTGCGCTGGAGCTGGTGACCAGGTATTAGACTCTAGGTCTCCTAGATGAAGACCCACAAAAGTGAGTGGCCAGCACAGGGGTGAGAATGAAGGACATTTGGACATAGTGGATTGTCTAGTAGAGGCCCAGGTTGAGTGAGGAAGCGAAAGAGCGCCAGCGAGGGTGCTTCTGTCTGAATCTTAGAGCTAGCACAAAAGCATTGTGGAATTGGACCCTAGTATTACCCAGTGTCATTGAATAAAGCCAGTCATGGCCAACGAGGTTGGCTAGAAGAGCTTTCAAGTTTATTTTTAACCTTTTATTTCTTTCTTTATTTGGTACAGGGTCTCACCATGCAGTTCAGACTGCTAATGAGCCTCCTGTCTCAGCCTCGTCAGTGCTAGGTTATAGGCGTACACCACCACGCCCAGCTTTGGTGGCCAGCACCGCTCACCTGGGGTTCTGGGGTGGGTGTGCCATGTAGTAGTGGGCACCAAGCTTGGGTCCTTGTACTTGCCAGGGGCACATGGAACACTGAGCTATCTCCACAGCCCTGGAGGAACTGTTAAGACTATAGCTTTGTAAACATCAGAAGATTTGTGTGAAAGAGAACTGAACTTATGCCCTTAGCACAACCAAGTGTGTGTGTGTGGGGGGGGGGGTGCACACACACACTATTATCCTAGCATATTACACAACTAACCTATGTTTTTCTCAATACTTTAAAACTACTGCAAGCAGCCCATGTTGACAGTGACCTTGTATTAGCGAGAGACTAGGTGCATGTGCCCCGACTCCATTCTAAAATGAAAACTGCAAAAGTGTATGTACAGTTACACACAGACGCACACGCACGCATGCATTTCCGTGCCGTTGTTGTTTTGGACCCCCAGTCTCCTATCCTGTGAGAGGAAGATGAATTCAGGTCAAGCCCAGAGTGCCTGTTTGCTTGCTGAGAGATGCATATCAACTCTAAGTGATTTTTTTCAATACCATTTATGTGGCTTGTATTTATTTCCTTTAATCTTTTAAGTGCTGTTTAGTCTCTGTGCGATTTGCTGGGGATACTCATTTCTGATAAGATGCGATACACTTCCAGCCACACAGCCCCGGCCTGAAGCACTAAGTGACTGATACGGACACAGCCTGAGCGGGAGCGGGCAGGGGCGGGGGCTGCGGGCCTCGGCTCGGCCGGCAGGTGCATTCTTGCCTCTTATTTCTTTTATTGCTGTCACTGCACGCGGCACTCTCATTCCCTTTATCCTGTGTCAGCCAGAATTAGACAACCCCAGACTGACAGTACACTAGAGGAATATGGAAAAGTGGGATCCTCGGAAGCAAGTTCGCAGCTTAGTTGGACTATTAGAACCCCTTCTGAGCCACGTGTCCTAACCTACTAAACTTACTTAGGGTTTCCCGGGAATACTGCATCCTGCACGCCCGCGTAGGCATCTTCCCGGTACTACCAAGTGGTTGGGGTGGCATTTTCTCCTCCACCTCCCGCTCATACGCTGTGAGCGTATCTCAAGCTCCTTTTGACGTCATCACAGCTAATGTTTCTTTTCTTAGCTTGGTGGCGGCCTCCGTGTCTCCTGAGTCTCAGGAGTAGTCCCTCCTAGTCTGTGTTGCAGTCCACTCTAAGAATCCCAGGATCCTATTTTACCTTCTCCACATCACGGCCTTAGCCTGGATGGCGGGGGTGGGGAGCACAGGACTAGAGTTTGGCCGCTGATGCCCTTGGGTGACAGGCTGGGGGTGCATCTGCTAATTCTCCAGCAGCGCTCTTAAAAAGAAGCATGATGCGGGCTAATCCATCTCCAAAGCTTTTTAGTGGGTGTCTGGGCAAGCGCAGTAGAGTGTGCCGTGGTGTTTGTGAGTGCACCTTCACATCGCTTAGCAGTCTGTGTGGTGTAGATCTTCGGAAAGCAGCCTGTGGCTTCCAGTCCACCCCCCACCTCACCCCTGCTGGGCCCTGCGTCAGCAGAGGTCCAACTCAATGGCATCCTCCTCCTTCATCCCAGTGTCCCCTCCAGCTCTCTCTCTGACCCCGCCAGCCCTGGGTCTCCTGTCTCAAAGAATTAAGCAAGGACTTCCTTTGGCCTCCCTCTTGGTGGATGGAGGGCAGACAGCAGAACTGGGGTGGAGATGCCTGAGCCAGCGCGAGCCAAGGTTGACAGTCCCGACTGGAACACTGGCCCTCGAGTTCTGGAATCCTCCTCTCACTCCAGGCCCCTCTCTGTGGCGTGCAGGGATTTCGAACCAGTTAAGATGGTTCCTCTGGAGAGGCAGCAGCAAATACAACTTTATTTCTGATTTTGGTTACAAGAAAACTCATTCGATTACCTGGCAAAGTAACCAAAATGAACTCTAAGAATGATGATCCCTGTTCATACATATGTATTTTTTTGTATGCAGATAAATCATGATTTCTTTCTTTCTTTCTTTCTTTTTTTTTCCTTATGGCAGGCCATTTCTAAGCTGTTTTAGTCTGTTTAAAGTGCATGTTCAAAGGCTGGCGCATAAAGAGGTGTCGTCTCAGCCTTCTCAAAGCAGGCCTCTCTGACTAACGCTTTTGGTCTTTGTCACTGGGTCCTAAAAGACAGCCCTGAATTCCTAGTGAGTGACTGAGCCTTGAGTGTGTGTCCTTTGATATCTCGCTGTATTTCTCAGTCTGCCCTCAAACTGTTCCTAATCTCACGAGCTGCCTGTATTTCCAGTTGAAGACGAACAGCCGTCAACGCTATCACCAAAAAAAAAGCAGCGCAACGGGGGCATGCGGAACTCGCCCAACTCCTCGCCGAAGCTGATGAGGTAAGGAGGCCCAAGGTCTGGCTCCTCTCGGGCGCCTTCGGGCTCCTCCTGGCCCCCTCCCACCCTGGCCAGGCCCAGAGCCCCCCTCCCCAGCCAGCACCGGCAGGGGAGGGGATCGTTAGATGGCTGCTTAAAGGCTGGAGTATTTATTCTGTCAGCTTGTCAGCAGTTAATGATAGAGCTGAAAAAATTCTGTCATGAAAAACAGTTTGAAAAGCTGTTTGAAAAATACATAGGCTTTAAAGTCTTAGCTGTCACCATGTCCTGTCTGTGTGGACTTCCTAAACAGCAGTGGCACTAATGACGCCGGGAACCAATCAGAGGAACTCTGTGGTTAGTTTGCCCGCGGCGGCTCTTTCTGCTGGAGTCCCTCCGAGGACTGTTTTCTGTACTTAAGGCCATATGTGAGATGTATCCTCACAATCAAAAATGAACCTGAAGATTACCTTCCTTTTATCCTGTCGATTGAAATCAAATTTCTGTTAATTGATTTTGACTGATAAAAAAAGTCTAATAATCTGTGGACTTGCCAAAGTGAAGTTTAAAAGTAATTCACTTCTGCTCAGGCTAAAAGCGATATTAATTATGAAACACAGCATGTTCACTCACTACTTCCTTTTCTCCTTCCTTCCTTCCTTCCTTCCTTCCTTCCTTCCTTCCTTCCTTCCTTCCCTTTTTTCTTTCTTCCTTCTTTTCCTTCCTCTTTCGTTCATCGTTCTTTTTTCCTTTCTCTTCTTTCCTTCCTTATTTTCTCTTTCTTCTTTCCTCTTTCCTTCTCTCCTTCTTTTTTCATCTGCCTTTTCCTTCCTTCCTTCCTTCCTTCCTTCCTTCCTTCCTTCCTTCCTTCCTCCCCTCCCCTCCCCTTCCCTTCCCTTCCTTCTCCTTCCTACCTTTATTCCTCCTTTCTCCCTTCCTTCTCTTTCGACTATGTCTTTCTCTAAGAAGTACCAAGTAAAACAAAATTTCAAGAGTTCTGCAGTACCACTTCTTGGCCCAGTTCTCTCTCTTCTCCCCTTTGTGTCTGGTTCATTCATCTGCAGATTCATCCATAATCCCAGGGCTCATTTCCTCTGACCTTCCAACTTTCTAAAGCCCTCATGGAACAGGAGCTATTTCAGATCACCTACTGCCCTAAGTGCATGCAGCCACGGACACACCTTCCCCCTGGTGTTATTTTCTTCTTTACCATTGACCCCTTTCTTCCTTTGGGTTATTGATGCACAACCACGATCATTTCTGTGGCCCACTTCTCACTGACCTTGTCTCCTGGCTTTCCACATGCATCTGGGATAGACGGGGCTGCGTGCTTCCCAGTGGGGCACACCATCTCTCACTGCGAGACCCACCCAGCCCTCCCTCCTTTGCCGTTCTGACCAACTCTTCCCATGAAATATTTCCTTAGGAGCTCTTGGCTCCCTTGGCTCAGCCTTCCTGGGTGCTTCTGATTTACATTCTTGTTTACAGTTTATGAGGAGGAATAAAATGTGCCAACTGCCAAGCTTCTCATTTCATGATGCCAGTTGTCAAGCCAGCATTCATTTCATTACTTACTCACCTTTAGATAATCGGCTTATCTCATGCTAATAGTTTTCTCCATTTAAAGGAGAGAAAAGCCCAGGCGCTTTTCTTTGCCTAAATTTAGAGAAGCAAATAAATAAATAAAGAGAAGTCTGAAAAATCTGAAACCTTTGGAGCCAAATTCTCTTGTCCCTGTTTGCTATGTAAAGTATGGCTCGTTTCTTTGATCTTGAGTAATAATAATTCTGAGGAGTTACACTGTTTTCATATGCTTCAAAGCTGTGTCAAAGTTTTGCTGCTTAAGGGTACTTCTTTATTCTGTTGGCTCTTGGGTACCAAGATGACAGGTCTCCTGTACGAGGTGGAGGCTTTTTTAAGTCGTAGCCTTCAGCAAAACATCAAATTACCAAATCCAGGGTAACATACTTCTACACAAATGCCTTTCCTGTAGATATATTATACCATATATATTAAATACTTTAGTGTTACACGCTACATTTTATGTGCAATAGAAAGTGATGGTTTGAGGTAGCCTTGGGGGGACTCTTTTTTTTCCACAAGCAGAGAAAGCTAGTGTATACCGTATCAAGTATGGTTTTTACAGGACTTTCTGCCTGAAGGCCTTTGTAAATAAGTAATGATCAACAGATTGGCTGTGGGTTTTTGAAAAGCATGCCTATGTCAGTTTGCATGATGTGGGAGAATTTTCAAAGTGGATCTTGCTTTCATTGCCTGCTGGAGAGGGGCTGAGGGAGGCAGTCATCCCAGGCTGGAGCTGTCTGCTCCGTGGTACATCAGAATTGCTAAACGGAGGTCAGGCGCTCAGCCGAAACTTGCCAAGCCAGAGAACTGCGGCATCTCGGGTTGGTGCTTGTGTGTTGCTGCTGCTGCATCCACAGCGACAGCCACAGGGATGCTTGCCCACTGTGGTCTCCATGGCAGCTCAGATGTGATGGGTCAGCCTACCAGTGTCCTCCTTGACCAAGACTTTCTAAGGCCCAGTCATGTACTGCGTTGGATGGAGAAGAGCAGGACCAGGGCCTCTGCTGAGCCCTCTTCGCTTTCCTTTATTTCTAGTTTATGAATGAAGCAAAAACTCCAAGAGTTTTGTTTGCCTTTGACTATCTAGCACGGCAATAAAGTTTCAGGGGCTGTTTCTGGTAGATCCCTCTTGCTGACCAGCATGAAGCAGAAGGGGGCTCACCCAGTGCCTTGTGACTTTTCCAGTTCTCTTCACTTCTTCCAATATCCTCTTGCTACGCTGATTAGACTCCCAGGTCCTGTTCGTTATAACCTCAGCAAATCCATACAGGAAGCTAATGACATATTTGAGGTGGGTTTTCTATACAAGTTTGTAGCTCACTATTTGAACAGAATCAATCATTCCAAGTGTCGGCAGGTTTTAGTGGCCTATGGGCAGCGATAGGAACAGCTCCAAGAGAAACAGCTCCAAGAGAGAGGGTCCAGAATAGGCCAGGCTGGGTTTTAATTTACCACTGTGGCTTCGGCAGATAAAACGTGCTCTTGTGTGAGGGCTTCTTCCAAATCATCTGCCAGCAGGAAATGCTGTGGGGACTCTCCACTAATGGTCCCTGTCTCTCCTTTGTTCTGCTGTCGGGCTTACCATGGTGTTTTAGTGTCCCTTAATTCTCTGCACAGTCATTAGGTGAACAGCCTTGTTTTGTGTCTGGATCCTGAGGTAGTATGTTTTTCAGTCACCCTGACAGAAAACAACTGCCACAGCCAGACTGAGCTAAATGAGTGTGGACATTCCACACCAAGCACATGCGCATAGTGACCAATCACCTCAGTCTCTATACCCACCAATAACCAATAACATAAGAGCCACCACAGTCTTATGTCCCTTCTTCCATCTGCCTCTTACCTCCTTTCCATGTTGGTCACTTAACATGGCATGGTTTCAGGAGTTCCTTCTGGTTTTCTACCAAAAATCCCCCAAGCAACTATTATTTGGCTCTTTCTACTTAGTGGATTTGTATTTTGTAAGCATCATCATGACTTTCCTCAGTGGCATAGAACAGTTGGATGAGATAACCCATGTCTCCTGAGCAGTGGTGAATAAGAACTTTGTTTTAGTCAAGGATTCCTAATTTGGGGCCTCATAGACTACATTCAGTGAAAACTTCCTAAGGTTGAGGGTGTAGCTCAGAGTGGAGCATTGGCCCAACCTTTGCAAGGTATTGTGTTTAGTCAGTCTTTATAGGATAAAAGCTTCTCTGAAGGCCATTTTGCCTGCAATTAGAGCAGAGTCATAGATTGCTGAAATTCTCCTCAAGATCTCAAGATACAACCACATCCAACTCACCCCCCAGCCACCTTCAAGTCATTGTATCCACCAGAGCTTCCTGGATAACAAGGATTTCTCTCCAGCAGGTAGGTGACAAAGAGAACATGCCTGATCTTTCACACTGTTTCCTAAAATAGAACTGCAAAAGAGTGTGCCCCTTGGCTGCCTGTTCCTGTTCCTTTCCTCAGCTTAAGTCTCATCCAGCAATGTTTAGGGAAAGTCTGAGGTGTGCAAGGTATTGTGGAAGGTCTCTGCAGGATCTGAAGTTGGGGTGGGTGAGATCCCTGTCTTCAAATGATGAGGAGACTGATAAGAACATAAGGCAAAATCACATAGCCTTGACTTAGAGAACGTATGAATATGGGCTGGGAGAACAGAAAGAGCTAGCAGTATTTTGGTCTTTGAGGCTGTGCTTGGTTTGTGAAGGAGTCATTTAATCTAATCCCTATAGGAGAACAGTTCTGTGCTAATAATTGTACCTAGTCTGCCTCATAGTTTACCAGGTATCAGCCTTCATCATTCCAAGAGTATTATGCCTATGAATTCAGAGTCCTTACTGCAAGTCTATGAGACATTATTATTCTTCCTCCCATGTACAGATGAGGAAGTTGAGGCACGGATACTATATATAAAGTCCAACAAATCTACTGAAGTCTCATTTAATTAGGAAAATGGAAGAAATAAGGAAAGTGCTCAGACAACTGTATGTATTGTAGTGGAGCTAGAACAAAGGGTCTTCGGAGTGGCACCACTGGTGTTGGAAATATGAGAGTGTTCTGGGATTTAGTTATGGAGACATCTGCCTGTCTGAGGCTTTGAAGAGCCCTTGCAGATTTCCGAAGAAGCAAAGCCCAAAGTGGTTTGGCAGCACCACTGGTGGTGGTATAATGATGGGTTTGGAGTCTTCCAACAGTGCCTTGCTGAGGACCAGAAGTGCGGACGTGTGAGAGAGAGGGTCACTAGGCCTCAGTCTCTGCCAGTTGCTTTGGACACCAAACTGTGAAGGGTTTGCCGTGGCCAGGGCTCAGCTGGACAGTTTTCCCAGGAAGAATGCACATCATTCTTGACACCAGCCCTGAGACCTGGATTGATGTAAAGATGTGCAGACCATGCAGATTTATGTGGGATGCTGGAAGGTAGACAGGCCACACAAGGGACCGCTCTCAGCTGGGCT